TTAAATTGTTTGTATTTTTGTTGTTGTTGTTGTTGTTTAGGCTGCTTGTGGTTTATGTGTTAGAGTTGGTTCATTTCATGATCCCAAAGAACTGCCCGGCCTTGCACACCTACTGGAGCACAGTGAGCTATTTTTAGTAACAACTAACAAGCTATTATTAGTAACACTTAAATCTACATCAATCTTCATACACAGATGCATTTTTTATTAATAAAACTTGCTAGTTATATTTTATTTTTAGTAACACTTAAATGACATAATTTTTGCTATTAATAGTAACATGCCTCTCCCCCTGTAGTGCTGTTTATGGGTAGTCAGAAGTATCCCGGGGAAAACGAGTTTGACTCGTTTGTCAGCTCTCACGGAGGCAACTCTAATGCCTGCACTGGATACGAACTGGTAAAACCTGTTTTGCAAAACCTGTACGACCTGTTTTTAGACTTATTACTGCTTTGAAGTTAATAAGAAATATTTTCAAGAAGCACTTGATAAGTGAGAGAGAGGGGGGAAGTTTGTGTGTTCATTTTTTTAATTTGTAGGTTTGCACATTTCTTCATTTCTCCACTGATAATGGAGTCAAGCTTAGAGAGAGAGATAGAAGCTGTTGATAATGGTTAAGCCCAGCATACACTGAGCAACTTGTGGTTAGACCTTTGATGTGGTTGCGCAACACTGGGCAACATGTTGCAGAAAGTAGAGAGACTCAACTTCTGGCAACAAGTTGCCTCACCACATCAAAGGTACTGGCAACAAAGTTGCTCAGTGTATGTTGGGCTATAGGTTTGAAATTGTTGTTGATTTAAAAGTCTCACAACCTTTTAATTATTGCAATTAATTTTTTGTGTAATTTTACAACTGTCAAATTCACAAAATTTTAATTCCAAAACTATTATGTAGGCTACTTTTGGCTAATCATACTGTATTGCTTGATTCGCCTCAATATTAATATATTCAATAGTGAATTTTGTCTTTTGTTTGTTTACCATCTTCTACCTTTATCTGTAATTAATAAGTTATTTTTTGAAATTAAGGCCACGTTTACACTACTCCGTTTTCATTGAAAAACGGAGACTTTTAGTCACGGATACGGGTTTCGTTTAGTCTCGCAAGCCAGACCCTCCCCGCCTACGGTCATTTGGGTGGACGGCGGGGAGGGTCTGGTACATTGTCTACACTAGTTTTGTTCTCGCGTCCAGAATTGGACGTGACCAATCAGAATAAGTTATTGAGAACTGTCATCAATAGTCACACAATTGTCACATGATCAAAATGGCCGCTTTTTGTCTAGCTTGTGGTGATGATGTGATTAAGGGATCTAGAGCAGTTGCTAGCCAGGTATCAGTGATTTTGAAGCGTTATCTAACTAGAAGGTGCCAGGAACTCAACATGGATATTGATCTCAACTCGCTTATAGACCAATCTCACGTCTGTAGAGCCTGTTCAATAATTAGGGCAGTCAATGGGCTGACTACTATAATTATAGCCTTCTCCTCGTCCTTTCTCTTCTCATATATATCAATAGCACTTGGTAAGACTGTAAAGCATATCGTTTTCTCAAAACCAGTCGGTAAAATGGCAAAAAACATCCCTGCCCTTCAAAAACTCGCAAATACAGAACTTTTGTTCGTCTTTAAGTGTAGAAAACCCAAGAGCAGAGGCAGCATTAATAACAGCAGCTTCGATGAGCTCTTCCTCCTGTTCTGCGGCCATTTTTTTCCATTTGACGTGCATTGACACAATCTACGTATACATTACGTAACATTTTTTTGCGCGCTCTCGGAACAAAACTAGTGTAGACAATGTACCAGACCCTCCCCGCCGTCCACCCAAATGACCGTAGGCGGGGAGGGTCTGGCTTGCGAGACTAGGTTTCGTTTACACTAAAACACATGAAAACGGATACTTATCCGAAGACATTTGAATACGAATACCTAAGCGGATACTTTTATAAACGAATGATATGTTCCAATGAAAACGCAGCTGCTGGACTAGTGTAAACACCTGAAAACAGTAATAGCAAAACCTATTCGGATTCAGTGGAGCGGAGTAGTGTAAACGTGGCCTAAGAAGTCACCTTTTTTCCCACTGGTTGCTATGGTAAAGCCAGTATTCATTATGTACTATCATAACTTCCTGCCTTTAGTCTTTCTCTCCTCCTTCCACCTTCTTCATTTTTTTGTTGTTTCATCTGGTCATTAGGACTCTCTCTCATCACTCATTCACTGCCTTCCCTTCTCCTCCTCCTCCTCTACTTTGTTTTACATTCTCATTCATTAATGTAAATTCATCTTTACTACTGGTTGTTATAATAAAGGAATGTTATCATA